TTTTTAAAAATTTATCTATTTATGTATTTCATGTATATGAGTACTTTATTTGCATGTATGCCTGCATGACATAAGAGGGCATCCGACAAAAGAGGATACCAGATCTCATTAAGGATGGTTGTGAGCCACCATGTGGTTGCTGGAAATTGGACTCAGGACCTCTGAAAGAGCAGCCAGTGCTCTCAACCTCTGAGCCATCTCTCAAGCCCCTGGTGATAGCCACTTAATCACAGTAAGTATGTAGCCATGGTAGCCTAAGCCACCACGGTGATGGTAGTCACAAGGTAGTCCTCGCACAGACCAGTGAGGATGAGGCAGGCTGCTTATCACAGTGATTTATTTATCTCTGATGCTGCAGCCAGAACTTAGAGTCTTGTACGTGGTAAGCCTACGTATGTTCTACGACTGAGCAGCACCTTAGCCCTGTCAGTGTGTCTGTGCCTTTCGTTTGTCCATTTTTTTTTTTTTGAGGCAGGACTTTATTATATAGAGCTGGCTGGTCTGGAATTTGCCATGTAGACCAAACTGGCCTGGAACTCAGAATTTCTGGGATGAAAGGCTAAAGGCATATGTCCCCCCACACATCTAGCCTCTTCAGTGTTTTGAATAAAGCATGACACAGGGGGAAAAGATCAGATGCTGTCACTCACTACTGTCACCATAAACAGGTAGATGTTTCCTTACCTCAAATACCCCGTCCCTCTTGGAAGCACATGGGTGGTGCCACTTCGCCACTTCTGAATCAAGTGACCCTCTGCAGTATCCCGATAGATACCCCTCTCTACCTTATACTTACAGTCACCCAGTCAATGGGGCTGAGGAAAGGTGGCTTTCCCAGGAGTCTTAGCCAGAAGAGTAGGAGAAAAATAGAGAGAAGCAAAGAACGGGAAGAGGAAGAGGAGCAGGGAACAGAGAAGGACAAATGGGGTCAGGCATGGGAAGTAGGGAGCAAGAGGGCAAAGGGGATGAAAGAGGGGGACACAGAAGCCAAGGGGAGGAGAAAGGAACAGGGAGAGAGAGGTGGGGAGAGTAGAAGGTATAGGAAGGCAATGGAGGACGCGGAGGAAGCGGAGGACAAAGAGGGCCAAAACCTCTGGGGATCACAGTAGAGTGTGTGGAGAAGGGCTGAGAAGTGGTTCTGGCTGATGGGGCCATGACCTTGGGGGATGGGCTGCTCAGAGGGACCCTTCCTGGGGTCAAAGGAGACTCTTGCTCAATTGTTGAAGCTATTTGAAAGCAAGTGCCCCTTTTAGGGCAGGAGGTCTCGACTCATCATCTGGTTTCTCTGGACTATGGCACTGTAAAGGGGAAGTGTGGGAGACGCTGGCTCGAAATAGGACTTACTAGTGGTTGAGGTGAGGAGCTTTTGGGTAGCTGGACAGAGCTAGTGGCTGGGCTGCACCGTCTTGACCTACTCTGGAGGCAGTCATCTGTCGGAAGGTCCAGAAATGCCAACCGTCCCAGGGGCTGCACCGCCACCTGCTGTGAGGCCTGGGCCGTCCCAGGTCCTTCGCAGCTGGGCCGCCGCTCGCTGCAAGTAGGAAGGAGGGACGCGGAAGGGGGCGCGCAGGTGACTGCAGGCTGGTTGTTCTCCTGCGCTCCAGCCCTTCTCACTGGGGAGTTGAGCGCCCGGGTAAACACCAGGCGCGATGTGCGCGGTGTATCCACGGAGAGACAAAGCCAGGGCGGGGCGGGGGCGCCGCCCGTGATGCCAGGGCGGGGGGTGCAGGGCGCAGAGCAGCCTCCCCTGGCGCGGGTCGCCCACCGCCTGGGAACCCTGAGCCCAGCCCGCGGACAGGTGGAGCGGGGGGCGGGGCGGCGGCTGGGAGGGTCCCGCCCCGGGGGTGGGGCCGGGCGGGCCCGGAGGGGCGGGGCCGTGCTATGCAAATGTCGCCCACGGGCGGCCAATTGCCTGCTCTCCGCGCGCGGCTCCGAGCGTCCCGTCCCGCCAGCGGCCTCGAGACCGGAGCAGCTAAGGAACAAACCGCAGCGGTCCAGGGAGCCCCGAGCGCAGCGTAGAACCAGGCACGCCTCGAGGACTCGTGCAGCCCCGCGCGGTCTCCGGGCTTCAGTCAGGCAGCCAGACGAGCGCAGCGCCATCCGGCCGAGCCCAGCGCAGGGCTCCTTAGCCTAACGCGCGCCGCCGCCCGCGCCCCGCACCGGGGAATGCGCCCTCGGCGCGCAGGCCAGGGGGCGCCCGCAGCCCGCCCCGGGGGAGGCGGCCCCGAGCGCCCCTGAGCCTTTCCATGGCCCGGGCTGGGGCCCGGGGCCTCGGCTGTTGACGTGCACGAAGCCAGTGGAACCAGTGAAGCCGCGGTCGCGGTGTGGATCCCGGCTTCAGGCTCAGAGGCAAGAGGGCGCGGACAGGGCCGTGGCCCCGGGGGGCCGATAGAGCGGACCGGCCCGACGCGAACCTCTCCGCTGCTGCGGCGGCTGCCACTGTCCGGGCGCCCAGGCCCCGCCGCCGTGGACGAGGTGAGTACAGAGGGAACGCGACCCCTCAACCCCACTGGGACCCGCGGCACTGCAACTCCTTAGAAGTGTACAGTGCGCGGGGTCTGGCGAGCCGTGGCGCACTGTCCGCGGGCACCAGGCGACAGGACGAGGATGTGCTTCATACCTGTCCCGGCGGCGGGGACCCCGCGGCTTCCGGGCGGTGTAAAGATGTGTGACTGGGTGATGTGGCCTGCCGGGTCACCGGTGTGAAGAATTAACTTTTTCCACCCCCGCAAGGTTTTGGGTGGGTACCCTCACCCTCGCGGAGTGGGAGTTCGGATCCTTCTGTTTTAGTCTTCCGCTGACGCCTGCAGTAGCACTCTTTCCCAGTCGGTGCGCATGCACTGCCTCAATGGCCCTAGTCTGAAGACAGGTCGGCCTCAAGGGAAGGTCTAAATGGGAAGCCCCCACGTGGAGGGTCACCCGGAACAGCAGGGCAAGAGATCTGCCTCCAAAGGCTTTTCTTCCAGCCCTTTGCCGACCCTCTGGCCCCCAACTGCATCTTGGTCCTGCTTGGATTTAGGGGTTTCCCTGTATGTGAGGTGTTGGTAAGTTGGAAGAGCCTGCAGTCAAGCCCCAGTTTGAACCACGGGCCCTAGCGGTGAAGTGGGCAAGGGACAACGGGGGTGAGGGGGTTGCCTAGGGCAGGTGAGGCAAGGAAAGTGTCTAGATGAAGAGGCCTTTGGAACTAGGGCTAGGGGCCCAGCTGAACCACTAAGTCCTTATTCTTGAAATAGGTGCCTTTTGCCACCCGTCCATTAACATCTGGGGAATCGAAAGCTGAAACCACCTTCATGTCCACCCTGGAGCAGGGCAAGGTGGAAGGACTCCTGTTCCCGTGAATTCGCTCGGTTTCTCCAGTATCCGCTACCCTAGTTACAGACGGGGGGGGGGGGGGGGGGGGGGACTGCCTAGGGGTGGTGGGATGGAACAGGGCCTTCTCCGGCTGCTCAGGGGGTGTGCCTAGATAGACCCGTGGACTAGGCAAGGATGCAGGCATAGCCACCCCCACTGTTCCCCCTTAGTTCCAAAGGAGCCAGGGCCCGGAAGTAGGAAGGTGGGGGTTGGCGAGAAGGCCAGAAGCCGGGCCTCAACCACCGCTACTCTGCATACCTTGGTGGGGGGGTAGGGATGGAGCCTGGACCAGGTGACCTTGACTGGGAAACCCTGGCCACAAAAGGGGGTTTCAGGCCCAGCAGGTCTGCTTCCCGACCCATGAGGTGTTGGGGGAGGGGGAAAGCTAAGGATCCAGGAAGGAGTCTTGGGGTGTGGGGGGAATAGCTGAGGAGCTGATGGGGTGCTGTTAGTAATTTTCTCCCTGCGGTCCCCCGTGGTCCTGTTCTTGCCTCTCTTCGGTGGAGGCAGTTGTTAGCTAGAGGAGCCAACCTCCCTTTGCTGAGACGGGCTCCCCCGGCTCCCCCCACACACACATATACACACACACTGTAAGCTTGGGAGGTCTGGATCAGACTGAACAATTTGACCACCTGGCCCCCTGTCCCGCCCCCAGGTGCCTCTGGACCCCTTCCTCTGTCCGCCCCTTCCCTGCACCCCTTGCCAGCCCCAGCTCCTCGTTTCTTTGTTCAGGCGTCTCTCCTCCGTCCCTCCCTCTCTCCTCCCTCTCTCCTCCTCCCGCCTGCTGCCTCCCTCCCTTGTTCCCTCCCGCCAGCTTTCTTCCCCTCCTTTTGGTTTTTCCTCCTGGTGGGCTCCCAGGTGGCGGTGGCAGTTTCTCCCCTGTCCATCTACCTGAGCTGATTCTGACATGGGGGTTTTGAGGGGGCTAAGGCTGAATGGAAAGAAGCTGAGGGCTGCCTGAAGGAAAGGGACTGTAGGAGCCCCCTCCCCCTTTCCTCTGTCCTTCTTCATCCTTCTCTTTCCTCTGTCCTCACCGCTAGGCTGCCAAAGAGGGACCCTGAATTTGGTCTTGAAGTCCCAAGAGACTCTCATCACCCCCCCCCCCATTTACCTCTTTCAAGGGCCAGAAAATTGTGGGAGGTCCCTGTAGGAGCCTCATGGGAAGATCCCCTACTTTTCTGAACACCTTCAGTGAGCCCAACACTAGCTTTGGTGACCCTGACCTTGTCACTGTGAAAATGGATACTGGAAAAAGGAGGTCATGGGGGGGTTGACATGAACCCCCTGATCAAAGCTCTCAGGGACTCAGCATCTTGCCCTCCTAGCTTCCTTGAGCCCCACCCCACTAGCAGGTCAAGTTCTTGAGCAAACTCCTGCTTGTAAAGACGTGCGTGGGCACGCAGGCGTGGATGTGTGGATATGCAGGGTTGCTCATGGGGGCCTCCAAATTCACCCTTAGGGTGGTGGAGGCTGCACAGCCCTTTGCTCCCCGGCCTCCCTGCCAGACAGAGCCTGCCTTGAATTCTGTCAGCACTAGCTTTGTGCCCCCAGCAGACTGGGGGAGGGGGCTGGGGCTGGTTCTTCCCCTCCCGCCCCCCCAGTCAGCCAGCCTCCCTAGGAGAGAGCATCTGGGATAGGGAGATCTTGGAGGAAGGAGAGGTGTGCCAGGCACTCAGCGAGCACCACTGGAGCTGCACTTCCTGTCTGAGGAACCACCAAGTGGTTTGCCTTGGCAAGAGAGGCAGGGCTCCAGGGCTGGGGGCTGGGTCTGAGGAGGGCATTGGAGTCCAGAAGTCCATAGTGGAGCCCTGCACAGTCCTGGCTGGGGGAGTAACAGGCCACCGTGTCCCAGCCCTATCCCAACACATACACACCCTGGTGGCCTGAAAATGGGTTTCATATTGCTTCCCATGGGAAAAGGGATAGACAGGGCAGATCTGGGGGGATGAGGCTGTTATTCTTAATGCCCCCACCCCCAGTGCTCCAGGGTTGGGGGTGGGAGTTGGCAAGGATTTGTATCGGGAGGAGCAATATGTTTCAACAACTGTGCTGAGCTGCGTTTATCCAACAGCCAGCCTGCCTGGGGAGACAATATTTGAAAAACACAGTATTAAAATTTGGACCTGCCAGAGATGTGGGTGACTTTGAAGGAGCAGTGTAGCTGGTGCACAGTTTATCACAGGTCCACTGGCCATCCTAGCACCCTTTTTGATTCCTGAGCTGGTACTTCTTCATGGAGGAAGTCCTTCTGCCTGTCTAACTTGGGTGCTTCCTGTTTTCTGCTCTTTAGTAAATGTGAGTCCTGCTATTCTCTGACTTTTCTTTTTTGGCTGGTGTCATCTCCTCTGCTTTGGGCCATCGGCGTGTCTCATTCTTGCTCCCCGTTCTCCCATGATTCCCCTCCACTAATATTAGGTCCAGATTTTCCTGCCCTGGGAGGAGTGCATTGGCTCAAGCAGACCTAGGAGTAGAAGAGAGGGCCTCTCTGCAGGTTGTGGGCACAGTGTGGGAACCTGCCGTGAACCACAGAGGGGTTTCTAACATCTGCATGTGTTCCAGCATGTAACTGAGGGACAGGAGGGGGTAAGGCTGCGTCTCCAGGTACTCCCCTCAGTTCTGGTGCTCCCAGCTACTCCACTACCGCTTGGACTTCAGGCTCTTTGGTGATCTGCCGCTAGACAAAGGAAGGTAGGAAAACGTATGAGCTTTGTCCTGAGCCTAGAGTTGTGAGTATAGAGATACCGTCACTCTCTGTTGAAGGAGGGAAACTGAGGTAATTTGGTCAGAGGTTGAGTTGAACAAGGGAAGGTAGGCAGGGTGCTGTTCGCCTGTAATCCGAGCACAAGAGGATCGTTATAAGTTCTAAGAGAAATGGCTCATACATTTTCCTAACTTGTTCTCTTCCCAGGTGTCCAGAGAATTGGAGCCTGGGCCCTGGGCCCTAGGCCCCTCCACGATGCTCCGCACTGGCCTCATCCTGTGGGCTTCCCTGCTGACCGGGGCCTGGCCTGCCGCCCCCATCCAGGACCAGGTTCCCGCTACACCTCGTGTCCGTCTGTCATTCAAAGGTCAGAGACTGCTTTGCTCCTCCTTCCTTACAGCACTGGCTTTCACTGCTGAGGACAGGATTGAGATCAGGGCACAGGGCAAACTCTGCGGTCACTTGGGGAAGGATGGAGAGAGCAGGATCTATTCGGAAAGATGGAACCCGGAGGATGACAGAGAGGAGACGTTACTTGGGTTCTCTGAGCTCTGACTCTCATAGGTGAGGAGATGCTGTTGTCAGCTCCTAGGACTGAGGGTCAGATCGTGAGGTAGACCAGAGCCTCTCCCAGCTGGAGGGGCAGACACACAGTTCTATTGGGTGTGTGGCTACCCAGGCATGTGTTCCAGGGTCCGCGAGGGAAGGGCACTGTTGGCTGTGTTGTGTGGGGAGGATTGTGGGGAAATAGAGCGCTTGGTGAGCTCGGGGAAGGCATCGGCTGTTGCTGAAGTGAATACTTTGGGAAGTCACTAGACTTTAGTGGGGGGCTGGGTCTACTTCTGTCACCTTGCACCCAGCCCACCCGGCAGATGAACACACAATAACGTGTTTGCTATCCCTCAGGGGATAGTGTGTGTGTGTGTGTGTGCGCGCGCGCGCGCGCGCGCGCGCGTGTGTGTGCACACTGTAGGCTCTGGGGTACACAGGCTGTGCTGTTCCTGCTGAATTCTGTCTTGGCCACCCTCTGGCTAGAAGCAGCGCTGGCCAGCCTCCTGCCCTGGGTGGGGCCAGTTCAACCCTGGCTGGCCAGATTTCCCAGCAGCCATATTGGGTGAAAGGCTGAACTGACCTTTCCTTCCTCAGGCTTGGCTGAAACCCAGCCCCTAGCTCATCACCATGGCTCCCTGGCAGTTCCCCTGGCCTCCTCCCACCCACACCTGGAGGAGGGATGGGGGAGTGGGAAGTGGGAAGTGAGCTGGTTTATGGTCCCAGTCCTGATGGGCAGACAAGAGTTAAAGGGTTCTAGTTCCTAAAGGGCTTCCTTTCCCAGGCTTGGGAAGGTGAGATATTTATTCGGCTGATACTTCTACCTTTCCCTGGTGGAATTTCTGGGAGTAGATTAATAAATCTTGATGGGGCCAGTCCCCGCCTCACCTCCCTGCCTGGGGCCACTGGAGTGTTTCCTCCCCCAACAACAGACAGGAGGGGGCTTGAACTCCATACCTGAGGACCCCTGGGTCTACCACTTTTGGTATTATTTTTATTAAAATTCATGCCAGAAAGCAAGAAGACATAGGACAGTCTCCTGGGTGCTCCTTTTAAACCTTGTCGAACCTCAGGGGCAAAGGGGAAAAAGCTTTGCTCCTGTTTTCCAGAGGAAGAAACTGAGGCTCAGGCAAGGGCAGGGCCAAGGTCAGGCCAGGAGGCAGAGACAAGGCCAGAAATAGAACCCTGGTATCCTGGGCTTGCTGGCGCCCACATCGAGTTGGGTCGATTCCCTCTCAATTAGCTCTGAAGCCGACACCCACAGTGACTAAAAGCCCAGCTTCCTGGCAGCCAGCCTACGGTGTTGTTTGCTGTGCCTGTGCGGCCTGGGTAGGGTTGGAGGATGCTTGGGACTACCCCATCCTGGGACTTTGAACTTTTGCCCAGGCAGGTTCATTAGCCAAAATGACACCCCACCCCACCCGTTCTCACCTGACCTCAGGTCCTAGTATTGTGCCTGGATGTAAGCTCAGTTTAGCGGGTGCTCGAGCACCTACTGTGTGCTCCACTTTGCTGAGCCCTGGGAACTCTGCGGTAAACAAGATGAAGTGCCCATAAGGAGACTAACTGAAAAACACTTGCTAGGTGGCCCCACTGAGGGACCCAGGCCCTGTGTGACCCCTCTGCTGCTAGTGGCTCAGTGAGGAGAGCAGGGACTGGGGTCTCACAGCCAGTTTAAGACTGGAGAGGAGTGGGGTGGGTGTCTTCCCGTCCAGGGTGCACATACGGGGTTCATAGAGAGTTGCTCTCAGAAGCACTGTTGGTAACGTGGACTTTGTGAGTCTATTTCTCCTTCCTCCTTGGAGGGACACAGCAGCTGGAAGCCAAGGCGGGAGAAGATGCTGGCCTTTTTTCTTTTTCTTTTTTTCTTTTTTTTTGGTTTTTCAAGACAGAATTTCTCTGTTTGGAGCCTTGCCCTGAAACTAGCTCTTGTAGACCAGGCTGGCCTTGAACTACAGAGATCTGTCTGCTTCTGCCTCCTGAGTGCTGGGATTAAAGGCGTGCGCCGCAGCGGCTGCCACCACCACCTGGCTGAAAATGCCTGTCTTGACGCGCTTTGGGTGTTTGTAGCAGAGCTTGCCACTTCACTGGATTCAGCTAGACTCTCCTGGGCAGAGGTGCTGGTGTGAGGGGCTACACTGCCCAGAGAAGATAAAAGAACAAAGGCAGGAATTAGACCAGCTTCCAGCTTGCAGCCCACCCATCTGCCTAGGCACCCCAGGTCTAGAGCCAGCGGGGCATGAGAGCAAAGGGGCCCTGCGTTCATTCAGACTGGAAGATTTCTGTGTCCATCTCTTAGCACAGAGGAGGCAGGTGGGACCACCACCTTCCAGGGGCACCAGATGTGTCTTTTCTTCCTGCTTCTGGATGCCTGCTGGGGATCCTAGACAGTAAACCCTTCCTCCTTCCCCTGATGGGGCCTGGAGTCCCCTTTGCCCAGAATCCCAAGCCAAGTTTGGGTGGAAAAACTTTTCCTTCCCCTACCCTGGGCCACCCTAAATCCTAACAGCAGTAGGGAGGTGCCAGGCCCTGCCAGGTCCTTTGTTCTCTGTGGGGAATGTTTACTTTTCCCCAGGAAGCCAACCCCCACCCCAACATGCCACTGCTGTCTGGCTGGCTTTGGCAAGGATTTGGGACTGAGAATTTTGTTTGGTGGGAGAGACTGATCTCGTGGTGACGGATCGGATTGGATCTCGTGGTGACGTGAGGCAGCTGGGCTACTGGGGAAACTGAGGTGTAGGAATGAGGAGAGGGAGCAAATGGTCCTTGTGTGGATGGAGAGCCCGGAAGAAGCTGCCAATAATGGAGGTGAGAGTGGACGCCTTTGCTGAAGTGAGAGCCCGGGTTGGCTCTGACCCCAGGCGCACCTGGCCCCTCAGCAAGGCTGAGCACTCTGTGGGCTGGTCCCTGCCTTCTACCTCTCGGTGCGGTGCCTTGACAGAGCCTTGGCCCAGGCTTCACTGAGGGGTAAGGGCGGGGCTGGAGAGCCGGAGTATCACTCTGGCCCCTAGGGGTTCCCTGAGTCCCCAAACTCTATGAGGAACTTGTAATTGCCAAGAAGTAAGAAGGAGGAAGAGGTACAGGAACTGAGGCCAGTGGTGGCATCAGGGAGCTAGGCAGGGGTCAGGTGACTTTGACAGCTACAGTGGGTTTGAGCTCTTACCCTAGGGAGGGGTAGGCATTCCAGGATGAGCCAGGATGACAGTTGGCTCTGGAGGAGATGGAGACTGGATCTCTGTGATTGTAGAAGGCCCAACTCACTCAGGTCAGGAGCCTCGGCCTTTAACCCAGTCTCACCCCAAGCTTTGGATGGGGCGCACTGGCTGGGCCTTTCGGAAGCCCGGGCCTTGTCTCAGGCTCTGGCATGTCGCCCACCCCGCCCTGCTGGCTCCGGCTTCCCTTGGCACTGAGTGGGGAGCTGGTGCATGCTCGAGGAGTAAATCATGTTCCCTGGCAGCCCTCACGGCTTCGTAATCGTAAAGAATTTAAAGAGAAACTGCCAAGATACAAATCTCACTCGGGGCCCCAAAGGCATCTTTTACCCTGTGGCTTGGGAGGCAGCGAACCCCAAAGAAGGTTCTTGGCTGCCTACACACCTGTGTGTATGTGCACGTCCCTTCTCCTTCTCCAGAAGCGATACCTCAGAAGGTAGCTTCAGGGCCTTGACTACTAGGGACCCCCAGTGCCTCCTTCAGTTGGAATGTCACACTGTTGCCATCAAACCCCAGTCCTATCCTTGGTGACTGTGTGACTTCTATGAAATGGCTTAGACTCCCTGAGCCCTGGTTTCCCCCTTTGTTAAGTGGGAATGGCGGTAACCTGTTGAAAACAGCATTAGCTGTAGGCCTGGCAGGCCTTGAATTTGAGATCCTCCCGACTCAGCCTCTGGGGAGGCTGGGATTATTCGCCTGTACTGCCAGACCCATCCTGGAAGGAGCATCCCGAGGGCTGCCTTGATTACATCATGATTATCAATAGACCTGGAACAGCGAACTTGCCTCTGTTCCCACTGCCTTCTGGAAAATGGGGCCAGGAATAGTTCTGACTTCATTGTGGTGTTGGGAGGATGAATTATGTGGATACGGTCACTGTCCCCAGCAGAGAAGAATATCTTAGTGACTGGGACGGTGGCTTACGGGCAAGGATTGATGGGGGGTGCCCCGAGGTCTCCTCGCCCTTCCAGAATTCTGACCTTTGGTTAAGGAGATGGTTCTTGGAAAGGACCTGCTGGGGAGGGATCAGGAGGGAGAGACTTCTACCATGGGCTGGTAGAAGGCAGGCAGGTTTCATGGTGAGGCAGCCTTGGAAACAGAGGAAAGAATGGTAAAGAAAGAGGAGGGGCAGAGTCAGGGTTCAAACCACCCAGCACCCTGCGGCCTTTAGCTGTTTCCTCGTGGCCGAGTCCTAAATATAGGTGGTGGGAAAATTTCAGTGGTAGAAATACTTCGGTGGGAAGTAGGTACCAGCCTCCCACTGAAACTGGCTCCCAGAGCCCGACTTGAGCACCTGGGCATCTGCAGTGACCCCTCCTGTGGGTTCTGTTCTGACTTTGCAGCCTGTTTTGGGGTGGCCTGGCCCGGATCAGAGCTATCCTGGAAATGTGAGCCCTGCCTCAAGGGAGCCCATGGAGAAGCAGAGAGGATTCCGACTACATTTTTCTTAGAAATAGCAAGAGGGCCTTTGCCAGAGACTTGGATGCCAGAAGGCTACATACAGCCTGAATCCAAAGCCCGCTCACGTGGGTGCCTGAGCTTGGCAGGCCTGCAACTCCCACCCAGGCTGCTCAAGCCCCAGAGAGAGAGGGCCTTCTGGGTTCCA